GTCATCAAGATTGAAATATGTGGAATCTTACCACAGCTGTGTCTATCCTTTTCCGGTCTCTGATCCCCTTACCCAATGAGTCAATCACAAATATCTCCAGTGAACTCAATTTCACTTAATAGCACCACCAATGATCATCGTGGAGAAATGGCATAAACAACTACAAACAATAAAAACAATATAAATAACACATTTCCGACCAAAAGTGGACAAATATTGCACATTAAAGGTTACTCACAAAGTCAGTTGTGGCAATGTCTCCAAGTCCAAAATGATCGCAACGCAGATAACTGTTATAGTTATGAAGCGTCCAAACATGACGATTCTGTGGACGTTTCCTAAAATCTGTAAGAATATGGTGCTGCGGACAATTTCAAAATCATCAATCAAAAATCATTTCTACAATAAAATATATGATACAATATCAAATTTCATTTACCGAATATAATGGACTAAAATGAATCCTCTTAACAACACCGCACTGTCAGAGCGGCTGCAGCGGATGGGTTAGCATGGAACAACAAACCAAGAGGGGGGGTGAATTGGTTCTTACTAAAAACGTGTGCCTTAAAAATTTCTACTCAATTAAACTTACTTAGCAATTAATAATAACAATTAAATAGAGTAAGGTTGAGAGAAATTTGCACAGATGATTTTATCCTGGTTCGGATCTTACCAATCCTACGTCCAGTCGCTTATCTCAAAACAAGATAAACAATTCACTAATCACAAAACAATTACAAACTACAATCACAAAGATACAATTTGATAAAGTTTAGAAAACACCTTTCTTGATGCCACAAGAGATGAGACAACACCTCCTTTGAATCTTCACAAAGGATGAAACACTTCCTTCGAATACTTCACGAAGGATGACTTCCTCTTCCGAACACTTCCTTAGACACACCAAGGATGAACCAGCTATTCCTCTATCACCGTAGCAGTATTTCACCAACTCTACAGACAGAGTTTCCTTAGCTGAGCAAGAACACACAATTCTCAAGAGTTTTTGAGTATTTAAGCACAAGGGAAGAGTTTCTCAAGTTATTCTTGAGAGGAAATGAGAGTCTATTTATAGACTCATCCAAAGGCTCTTCCATTTTTCGTTTTCAGCCTTTCTGACTGTGCTAATCGATTTATTTAAGTAGTTAATCGATTAGTCACTAAAAGACAAATCAACGGATAGTCCAACGGCTAAAAAACGACTAGTTTTTCAAACGGTCACTTTGTTAATCGATTAACTGCCCTGTCTAATCGATTAACGCTAATCGATTAACCACCCTGGGTAATCGATTATGATGCTTTGATGTGCTTCTCCATTTGTCTCTGGAACAATCGATTAACTGCCTTGGTTAATCGATTAACGCTAATCGATTAACTGCCATGGTTAATCGATTAGCACTGCACAGTTTTTGATTCCTTGTTTATTTTTACATCACTTTTAAATGCATACATAAACACCACTAATTTCCTATGTTTTAAATAGAATACAATTATTACAAAAGTTATAAGTCTTCAAAATCATTCTTCATGAGTTTTGGTTGTTCTTGACTTGAATTGGATATCATCAAAACTTCATCTTCATCATTTTGCTAACAATCTCCCCCTTTTTGATTATGATCAAAACCTTCTTGATGTTTAAAGCTTTTGATAATAATCTGTATTTAAAACACAACTTAAGGAAGAAACAATTGTTAGTGTACTTAGAAATAAGTTTAAGGCTTTAAATATTTCTCCCCCTTTTTGATCATTATTAAAAAGTGATGTTTAATTGCTCCCCCTAAATTTATTAGAAATTATACTCCCCCTTAATAAAAGTATATATGCATAGAAATATTAAGGAAAAACAAGATACATTTTATTGAATTTTAAAGAGGCAAGCATACAAAGAATTTAAACATATAGCACACACTACAAAAAGCATAGAAGCATAAAGTGCCTAAGATTCATCATCACTATCGGGAACATATAGTTTGGCTAGTTTGTCATCAATTTCCTTGAGGTGAGTATTAATTTCATCATAGCGAAGAGTGTGATAAGCCATCATGTCATCCATTCGAGTTTGTTGCATAGAGGCCATTGCTTCAATTTGTCTAGATATACTTTCTAGAATATAATCTTGTGGAGGATGGGATGGTCCAGCAACATTTGTTGGATCTGGCATAGGAATATCTTCATCTTCTTCTAGTCTTCCGAGGTCAAGTTCATGCTCTCTCAACTTTCCAAATAATGCAGCCATAGTCATTGAGTTGAGATTTTGTGACTCAGAAATTGCAGTCACTTTTGGTTGCCAAGACCTGTCTAAAGATTTAAAAATTTTTATATTAAGCTCATCAGTATCAAAAGATTTACCTAGTCCAATAAGATGGTTTACGGTGTTGGTGAAGAGTTTCTGAACATCTACTATTGTTTCCCCTTGCTTCATCCTGAACATCTCGTATTCCTGGATTAAGGTATTCTTTCTAGCTCTCTTAACATCATCTGTACCTTCATGGGTTACTCTAAGTACTTCCCACATTTCTTGTGCAGTATTACAAACAGAAATCCTGTAAAACTCATCAACAGTTAAAGCAGATGAAATAATATTACGAGCTTTTACATCATTACAAAAATTTTTCTTATCTTCAGCAGTCCATTGGTCAAGGGGCTTTGGTTCCTGCATATTGTTAGTTGGAACAAAAGGACCAAATGCAACAGCATCCCAAATATCTATATCAATAGATTCCATAAAAATTTGCATTCTGACCTTCCAAAATGCGTAATTTTCACCTGTGAATAGTGGTGGTCTATTGATAGAAGCACCCTCTGCGAATGTTTGATACGATCCCGCCATTTGAATGACTATCAAAGCAAGCTCTGATACCAATTGCCAAAGCGGTTGCAGGGGATGGGTTACCGTGGAAAAACAAACCAAGAGGGGGGGTGAATTGGTTCTTACTAAAAACGTGTGCCTTAAAAATTTCTACTCAATTAAACTTACTTAGCAATTAATAATAACAATTAAATAGAGTAAGGTTGAGAGAAATTTGCATAGATGATTTTATCCTGGTTCGGATCTTACCAATCTTACGTCCAGTCGCTTATCTCAAAACAAGATAAACAATTCACTAATCACAAAACAATTACAAACTACAATCACAAAGATACAATTTGAAAAAGTTTAGAAAACACCTTTCTTGATGCCACAAGAGATGAGACAACACCTCCTTTGAATCTTCACAAAGGATGAAACACTTCCTCCGAATACTTCACGAAGGATGACTTCCTCTTCCGAACACTTCCTTAGACACACCAAGGATGAACCAGCTATTCCTCTATCACCATAGCAGTATTTCACCAACTCTAAAGACAGAGTTTCCTTAGCTGAGCAAGAACACACAATTCTCAAGAGTTTATGAGTATTTAAGCACAAGGGAAGAGTTTCTCAAGTTATTCTTGAGAGGAAATGAGAGTCTATTTATAGACTCATCCAAAGGCTCTTCCATTTTTCGTTTTCAGCCTTTCTGACTGTGCTAATCGATTTATTTAAGTAGTTAATCGATTTGTCACTAAAAGACAAATCAACGGATAGTCCAACGGCTAAAAAACGACTAGTTTTTCAAACGGTCACTTTGTTAATCGATTAACTGCCCTGTCTAATCGATTAAAGATAATCGATTAACCACCCTGGGTAATCGATTAGCATGCTTTGCTGTGCTTCTCCATTTGTCTCTGGAACAATCGATTAACTGCCTTGGTTAATCGATTAACGCTAATCGATTAACTGCCATGGTTAATCGATTAGCACTGCACAGTTTTTGATTCCTTGTTTATTTTTACATCACTTTTAAATGCATACATAAACACCACTAATTTCCTATGTTTTAAATAGAATACAATTATTACAAAAGTTATAAGTCTTCAAAATCATTCTTCATGAGTTTTGGTTGTTCTTGACTTGAATTGGATATCATCAAAACTTCATCTTCATCATTTTGCTAACACGCACAACCTTTTCTCAAAGTATATAAACATCGTACAAGCAAATAACACCACCTACACAATCAAAATTTTACACATTACTAACATAAAATACAACATGAAACACAAAGAAATGTCACAATATTAACCATGTTATCAACGTATTTTTATCGGGGCCAAAGTGTAAAATGAAGTCGTGCTCAAGGTTTGCCCAATTATCTCGCATACAATCCTAAAGATATAAATATTAGTCCATCACAAACAATAGAGATTCGCCAACCACAACTACAATTCACAGCAAATACCTGTATACAGTGATCTCTATAACGCTGATTGCTCTGTACATTTGGTCTACATCAACAGTGCTGCTTGGATCCCCAACAAACTGCGCAATGGGAGGATAACCAATGGTATGGCCACTCGTTCGTCTTCATCACCATCATCATGGATTTCAATACAAACAATTTTGTCATGACTTCTTGAAACTATCTTATCTTCATATGCGATTTTATCCTCCCCTCTTACTTTCGTATATGCACCTAGAGGGTCATCAACTGCATTACCATCACCTTGTTGTTCAAATCCAAAATCACGACCAACTTCAGACTCTTCGTCACCTCCAACTTCAGGTGCTTCATCAACTCCACCAGCAACTTCTTCATCAGTACCACATGCATCTTCTTCAGTAAAGATTGGAGTTTGACAAATTTCAAATAACTCCCTTGTAAGAACTCCAATCTTGGTATTCAATGCATTATTTTTCCTCAATCTCTCCTCGGCACCTGCTTCCTATGTGTCGTCATCAGAGCTTTCGTCATCGTGTTTCTCAATCTTGGATCCTTCAGCCAAGGATCCTTCACTCATCCCTCCGTCATCCATGTGGAAAGCTGCACGGATTTCCGGGCGATGACGATCTTCCTTTCTTACATACCACTTCAGATTTAACTGCACCATTATCACACAACAAATTTTGACAAATAAGACAATCAATTTTTACATAACAAATAACCAATATCAAAACACTTACATCTCCGGTCATAAAAATATGTTCAATTTTTTCGGTCCTTGAATTATACGGGAACCATCGCATTATGCGCGGGAAAAACCTGTGTGAAGCATGACCATGCAAGAAAGTCTTTCAACTGCCCAAGCCTACAATATCATAATATTATTTCATCAAACCTAATTGACAATGTTCTCCACTACATCAAAATAATAAACTATAAATCATGTTACCTGCAACACCGCCACATTGCCACTAAGAGTGAGTGATTGCGCGATACCTCCTCTCATAATTTTCTTCTTACATTTATTTAAATTCTGTACAATATGTTTATGTACACCTGTGCACCAATCGTATAGACACAAATTGTCTAAGTCATCTAACACTGCAAATGGCATGTTACAAACATGCCTTGATTTCCTAGGAAAATAAAAAACAACCAAACAAACTAATATATATATAACCTACATACTACATCAACATCAATGTTATTATCATGCACAATGACATTAAACATGTCCGTCAGGTCCTTCAAAGTGATGGTTTTTGATTTGAACATTTCACCAACCAATCCAACAACTACTTCATCAAACTGAATCTCTAAACCACCTATTTCTAAACCTATGCTCATGAACACATTAATAACTGAAAAGGGCACCAACTGTTGACTTACTCTAAAACTATTATCATGCCCGGCCCACCTACAAACCATAACCTTCAATAATTTCAAATTCACCTCCACAGGGCTATGAATATTCAAACACCACATAAATGGAGTCATCCCAATGCGCTCCACATGACATTTTCCTAGTAAACGATTCATTTCAATAATGATCGATGAGTCCATCAAGATTAGAAGCCGCCACTACACAAAATGATGATAACTTTATTAATAACTACAATTGATACGATAATAAATAATCTATAAAAAGAAAATTATAATTTTTCTTACACTTCGATTTTTCCCTTCCATTGAAACTGCACTAACAAAATAACAATCCACGCTAGTTATATCATTAACATTAATGAAACACCAAAAAGACAATGTAAAAGACAAAGTGAGGGCTCGGCCATTTTTACTTACACCAACAACGACGGATAACAATGCTCCACGGCCTCCTCAAACAGACGGGAAATCCACAACAAAGTAACCACACCAAAAACTGCACCCGCCTTCCAACCACACAAATACAACAACACAAGACCAACAACACTAGGGTTTCAAAGATAACATACACGATACAAAGTGAGAGAAGATGGACGGGTCAAAATGGAGGACAGAGCTAGAGAGAAGATGGAAGGGTTGAAAAACCTACGCGCCTTACGCCCACTAAACGAAAATCGAAACCGCCAAACCAATTTCTTAAAATTTTGAAATCTTCTTCCAAAAATATCCCTCGGCCTCATAACCTCTCCCTTATTTCTTTTCACTTTATTTAGCCAATGCAAAGACGCCACATGGTGTTGTCAAATTGTTAGCAAAAATTGGTTGTCAACATAACATTTTCCAAAGTAAAATACAGCTTTTTCCATACATAGATTGTCCCAAAAGAAGAAAGTGTAACAATTTCAAAAACTCATTCTTGATGACTTAAAACGGACCCGTTTCACTCTTATTCAATTGCTTACTGTTAGCATTATTTTAAATATAAAATAAATATTATAGCATTTTCAGTTCCTATTTTTAAGGAACATTAAGTGGTCCATTAAGCCATTATTTTATCTTTTTAACTGCATAGAGGTTATGGAGCAGTTATTAATTTTAAACGTAAAGCCCATTTGTTTTGAACCTGTGATGGCCAGACTTTACATAAGGGAATGAGTTACTCTCAGTTTTGATCATTAAGCCTACTCCTCTATTCAGAAAACACACCATCAAGTTTGAGTGAGTTAAGGTTTAGAAAACAAAGCTGTCTGGATTTGGATTACAAAATGCAATGGCAGGAGAGCAAGGGTTCAGAAACCAGAAGTTAAGCAAGCATACAACAATGGCTGGAGGTTGGTCTTTCTGCTTCCGCTTTCTTTCTTATAAATCTGAATATGATTAAATGTGCTTGTTTGAGATATTTGGATTTATTGAATCTTTAGTATGAATATTTTACATTTGGTATCAGAGCACGTTTATCCTCTGCCTTGTTTGGTTCACTCCTCTGCGTATTGTATTTTTCGTTTTGTCAATTGTTTTGAAACTGAATCGAAAGAAGAAAATTTTCTATGAAATTTTGATGCTAAAACCCTCACATATTATTGGGTTCGTGTTTGTATACGCCTTGTTGGAACAATGCGGAGGTTGAAGATGAACGAAACGCCTTTTGCTTTTGCGTTTCATTTTGGGCATCTTTGAGAAAATATATATTCAGTTTTTATTTTTATTTTTTTTATCTACTGTATACATACATGCACTGGAGATAAGGTACGCTGTTTCTGGTTTTAATTAATATTGTACGCTTCTGGTTTTAATTAATATTGTACGCTTCTGGTTTTAATTAATATTGTACGCTTCTGGTTTTAATCCAGAGTTGTTTTTCATTCTGCGCACACTGATTACTTTTCATACATATATATAAATATATATTATTTATTGTTTACGTTTTATATTGGATGCATTTTTCCTGTTGTTGTTATATGCGTATAATATATATATACATACGTTATGGTTATACACGCAATTAGGATTAAAGTGTGCGTGAACATTATACTAATATTTAATGTTAGTATAATAATTTTTTGAATATTATATATTTATAATATGATTCTTATGTTTTATTTAGATTAAATATAAGACTTATAGAGAATTTAATGTTTAGTGATAAATATAATTTTTAATAATTAGAGAGTAGCCACAGCATCTTTAATTAATTAAATTATATTATAAAGATCACTTTATTAAAACATTAATTGTAATNTGTGCTTCTCCATTTGTCTCTGGAACAATCGATTAACTGCCTTGGTTAATCGATTAACGCTAATCGATTAACTGCCATGGTTAATCGATTAGCACTGCACAGTTTTTGATTCCTTGTTTATTTTTACATCACTTTTAAATGCATACATAAACACCACTAATTTCCTATGTTTTAAATAGAATACAGTTATTACAAAAGTTATAAGTCTTCAAAATCATTCTTCATGAGTTTTGGTTGTTCTTGACTTGAATTGGATATCATCAAAACTTCATCTTCATCATTTTGCTAACACGCACAACCTTTTCTCAAAGTATATAAACATCGTACAAGCAAATAACACCACCTACACAATCAAAATTTTACACATTACTAACATAAAATACAACATGAAACACAAAGAAATGTCACAATATTAACCATGTTATCAACGTATTTTTATCGGGGCCAAAGTGTAAAATGAAGTCGTGCTCAAGGTTTGCCCAATTATCTCGCATACAATCCTAAAGATATAAATATTAGTCCATCACAAACAATAGAGATTCGCCAACCACAACTACAATTCACAGCAAATACCTGTATACAGTGATCTCTATAACGCTGATTGCTCTGTACATTTGGTCTACATCAACAGTGCTGCTTGGATCCCCAACAAACTGCGCAATGGGAGGATAACCAATGGTATGGCCACTCGTTCGTCTTCATCACCATCATCATGGATTTCAATACAAACAATTTTGTCATGACTTCTTGAAACTATCTTATCTTCATATGCGATTTTATCCTCCCCTCTTACTTTCGTATATGCACCTAGAGGGTCATCAACTGCATTACCATCACCTTGTTGTTCAAATCCATAATCACGACCAACTTCAGCCTCTTCGTCACCTCCAACTTCAGGTGCTTCATCAACTCCACCAGCAACTTCTTCATCAGTACCACATGCATCTTCTTCAGTAAAGATTGGAGTTTGACAAATTTCAAATAACTCCCTTGTAAGAACTCCAATCTTGGTATTCAATGCATTATTTTTCCTCAATCTCTCCTCGGCACCTGCTTCCTATGTGTCGTCATCAGAGCTTTCGTCATCGTGTTTCTCAATCTTGGATCCTTCAGCCAAGGATCCTTCACTCATCCCTCCGTCATCCATGTGGAAAGCTGCACGGATTTCCGGGCGATGACGATCTTCCTTTCTTACATACCACTTCAGATTTAACTGCACCATTATCACACAACAAATTTTGACAAATAAGACAATCAATTTTTACATAACAAATAACCAATATCAAAACACTTACATCTCCGGTCTGAAAAAAAATATGTTCAATTTTTTCGGTCCTTGAATTATACGGGAACCATCGCATTATGCGCGGGAAAAACCTGTGTGAAGCATGACCATGCAAGAAAGTCTTTCAACTGCCCAAGCCTACAATATCATAATATTATTTCATCAAACCTAATTGACAATGTTCTCCACTACATCAAAATAATAAACTATAAATCATGTTACCTGCAACACCGCCACATTGCCACTAAGAGTGAGTGATTGCGCGATACCTCCTCTCATAATTTTCTTCTTACATTTATTTAAATTCTGTACAATATGTTTATGTACACCTGTGCACCAATCGTATAGACACAAATTGTCTAAGTCATCTAACACTGCAAATGGCATGTTACAAACATGCCTTGATTTCCTAGGAAAATAAAAAACAACCAAACAAACTAATATATATATAACCTACATACTACATCAACATCAATGTTATTATCATGCACAATGACATTAAACATGTCCGTCAGGTCCTTCAAAGTGATGGTTTTTGATTTGAACATTTCACCAACCAATCCAACAACTACTTCATCAAACTGAATCTCTAAACCACCTATTTCTAAACCTATGCTCATGAACACATTAATAACTGAAAAGGGCACCAACTGTTGACTTACTCTAAAACTATTATCATGCCCGGCCCACCTGCAAACCATAACCTTCAATAATTTCAAATTCACCTCCACAGGGCTATGAATATTCAAACACCACATAAATGGAGTCATCCCAATGCGCTCCACATGACATTTTCCTAGTAAACGATTCATTTCAATAATGATCGATGAGTCCATCAAGATTAGAAGCCGCCACTACACAAAATGATGATAACTTTATTAATAACTACAATTGATACGATAATAAATAATCTATAAAAAGAAAATTATAATTTTTCTTACACTTCGATTTTTCCCTTCCATTGAAACTGCACTAACAAAATAACAATCCACGCTAGTTATATCATTAACATTAATGAAACACCAAAAAGACAATGTAAAAGACAAAGTGAGGGCTCGGCCATTTTTACTTACACCAACAACGACGGATAACAATGCTCCACGGCCTCCTCTAGCAGACGGGAAATCCACAACAAAGTAACCACACCAAAAACTGCACCCGCCTTCCAACCACACAAATACAACAACACAAGACCAACAACACTAGGGTTTCAAAGATAACATACACGATACAAAGTGAGAGAAGATGGACGGGTCAAAATGGAGGACAGAGCTAGAGAGAAGATGGAAGGGTTGAAAAACCTACGCGCCTTACGCCCACTAAACGAAAATCGAAACCGCCAAACCAATTTCTTAAAATTTTGAAATCTTCTTCCAAAAATATCCCTCGGCCTCATAACCTCTCCCTTATTTCTTTTCACTTTATTTAGCCAATGCAAAGACGCCACATGGTGTTGTCAAATTGTTAGCAAAAATTGGTTGTCAACATAACATTTTCCAAAGTAAAATACAGCTTTTTCCATACATAGATTGTCCCAAAAGAAGAAAGTGTAACAATTTCAAAAACTCATTCTTGATGACTTAAAACGGACCCGTTTCACTCTTATTCAATTGCTTACTGTTAGCATTATTTTAAATATAAAATAAATATTATAGCATTTTCAGTTCCTATTTTTAAGGAACATTAAGTGGTCCATTAAGCCATTATTTTATCTTTTTAACTGCATAGAGGTTATGGAGCAGTTATTAATTTTAAACGTAAAGCCCATTTGTTTTGAACCTGTGATGGCCAGACTTTACATAAGGGAATGAGTTACTCTCAGTTTTGATCATTAAGCCTACTCCTCTATTCAGAAAACACACCATCAAGTTTGAGTGAGTTAAGGTTTAGAAAACAAAGCTGTCTGGATTTGGATTACAAAATGCAATGGCAGGAGAGCAAGGGTTCAGAAACCAGAAGTTAAGCAAGCATACAACAATGGCTGGAGGTTGGTCTTTCTGCTTCCGCTTTCTTTCTTATAAATCTGAATATGATTAAATGTGCTTGTTTGAGATATTTGGATTTATTGAATCTTTAGTATGAATATTTTACATTTGGTATCAGAGCACGTTTATCCTCTGCCTTGTTTGGTTCACTCCTCTGCGTATTGTATTTTTCGTTTTGTCAATTGTTTTGAAACTGAATCGAAAGAAGAAAATTTTCTATGAAATTTTGATGCTAAAACCCTCACATATTATTGGGTTCGTGTTTGTATACGCCTTGTTGGAACAATGCGGAGGTTGAAGATGAACGAAACGCCTTTTGCTTTTGCGTTTCATTTTGGGCATCTTTGAGAAAATATATATTCAGTTTTTATTTTTATTTTTTTTATCTACTGTATACATACATGCACTGGAGATAAGGTACGCTGTTTCTGGTTTTAATTAATATTGTACGCTTCTGGTTTTAATTAATATTGTACGCTTCTGGTTTTAATTAATATTGTACGCTTCTGGTTTTAATCCAGAGTTGTTTTTCATTCTGCGCACACTGATTACTTTTCATACATATATATAAATATATATTATTTATTGTTTACGTTTTATATTGGATGCATTTTTCCTGTTGTTGTTATATGCGTATAATATATATATACATACGTTATGGTTATACACGCAATTAGGATTAAAGTGTGCGTGAACATTATACTAATATTTAATGTTAGTATAATAATTTTTTGAATATTATATATTTATAATATGATTCTTATGTTTTATTTAGATTAAATATAAGACTTATAGAGAATTTAATGTTTAGTGATAAATATAATTTTTAATAATTAGAGAGTAGCCACAGCATCTTTAATTAATTAAATTATATTATAAAGATCACTTTATTAAAACATTAATTGTAATTAATTATATATAATGTGATGAAATATACCCATAGGATTTTTCTTACATTTGTATGAGTAATTAGGATAAAATATTTATTATAATTCTTAATTTTCCCACATGAATTAGGAATGTGATATAATTTAATAGTTTTATCATAAGGTTAAATGAGTCTAATTGAGTAAGACTTTAGCCCACAGGCAAGTTTTATGTTAATAGATTCATTGGTAAAGACATGTTTTACATTGGTAAAACATGACATTTATTTTAGTCTCAAATTATGATAATGAACATGAATATTTTGAATTTGCAATCTCTCAATCTGTGAATATTTTTGATATCAAGTGTGGTATTCCCGAGTTGAAAGGAGATAATTATAAGATTTGGAAGGAGAGAGTTCTTCTTCATTTAGGCTGGATGGACATTGACTGTGCTATTAGAAAACTAGAACCACCGGGTATTACAGAGACTAGCACTTCAGATGCCATTAAACTTTATGAAAAATGGGAGAGGTCAAATCGTCTCTCCGTAACGTTCATAAAAACCAACATTTCCGCTGGAATCCGGGGTTCAGTTGACCATAATGAAAATGTCAAAGATTTACTAAGGGCTATTCATGAGCAGTTTACGACATATGATAAATCTTCATTTGCTTTTGTCTGTTATGAATCTAATTTGACTAGTTTTAATCATAACACATGGTGGATTGATTCTGGTTCTACAATCCATGTTTCTAATACCTTACAGGATATGCAAAACCTAAGAAGGCCAGTGGGAAGTGAGCAATACATCTACTCAGGGAGTAAGATGAGTTCACATGTGGAGGCCATTGGAACGTGCAGCTTAGTTTTAAGTAGTGGTTTTGTTTTGCATTTGGTAAAGACATTTTATGTTCCTTGTTTTTCTGAGAATTTGATTTTTGTTTCAAGACTTATACCTTTGGGTTTTTCTTTTAATTTTTCAGATTCTGGTTTTACCTTAATGAATAAATCTAAAGTTGTTGGTTTTGGTGAATTGTGCGATGGTCTTTACTGTAATAACCTCATTTTTCCATTCTCTGTCTAAACCCCAATTTTCCCATTTCTCTACCTTCTCTCTACCAATCTCCTCCTTCCCTCTTCCAAATCTCCGAAGCTGAGCTTTTTGTTTTCCGATTAGATGGTGCCCTAGTACCCGCAGCGTAGAGGGCTTCGTTTTAAACCGACCACTTTCTCCGTTCTTCATTCCGACCGGGAGCTGTCTAGGTTTTGCGGAATTAGGCACTGTGGAATCAAGTTGTGCTCTTAGCTGTTAGACCCTAAGGTAAGGGAAGCTAGAATACTTTCTTAAGATTTGTTATGTGTTAGGTGTAGGGGTTGATTTATGCATGATTTGGTTGTTTCGATTACATTTTCAAGTTTTGGGTATGTATGGTTATGTGGAATTTGTGAAACTGTGTTGTGCTGTTTGGAATTGATTTGGATGAGTTTGGATTGCTGTAATTGACCCATTTGGAAGTGATTTATGTGTGTGAAATCTGGTATGTCTTTGGGGGGAAGGAAATTTGGAGTTTTAGTAGTTTTTAGGTCATTTTGAGAGGAAGCGAGGTAATGATTTTGGGCATTTGAGGTCTAGAGTGCAACTGGACTATTGGGACAGTTTTAGCTACTGTATTGTGACTTGTTTGAGTCACTAAATTGATCAAAATAGGTGCAAAGTAGTAGAATTGGATTTGGGTACCTAAGTTGGAGAAATTGGTGTTTTAGAGTTGAAATTGAGTCTTAATCAATTTAGAATGGAAGTAGGAATGTTTATAATCATGTAGGTAAGTTCAATCAAGTATAAAACAAGAATTAAGGGTGTTAGAAGTTAGTAAAAATGGTTGGAAATGGTCAAGGGGAAGTTCTGCCATCATCTTGCAGAATTCTGCAGAACGCCAAAAAAACTGACCGGTCGTCCATGTCTGATTTGGACGATCGGTCATGTGCTGGTTGAGTAACGTTCGGTCATGTGCTGGTTGAGTAATGTTCGGTCATGTGCTGGTTGAGTAGCGTTCGGTCATGTGCTGGTTAGTAGCGTTCGGTCATATATTGGTGTGGCGTTAGGTCACTTAGCGTTCGGTATGGATGACGCTCAATCTAAGGTAGCGCTCGGTCATAGGTAACATTTGGTATTGATGGTGTTCGGCCTTTTGGGGAGCGTTCAGTCTTAATGGATAAACTTAATAGCGTTCGGTCATAGCGGGTGGACTGGATAGCGTTCGGTTTTAGTGGAGGATCTTGATAGCGTTCGGTTAAGTGTTGATTTAGTAGTGATTCGGTCGTTGGTTTAGTAGCGTTCGGTCAGGTGCTGGCTTGGCGTTAAGTCCCTTAGCGTTCGTCCAGGTGGTGAATTAGTAGCGTTCGGTCTTAGTAACGCTTGGTCTTGGTAGTGCTTATTTCGTATGAGCGCTCGTCTTAATAGTGTTCGGTTAGGTAGCGTTTGGCAAAGCTCGTAGCGTTCAGTCTTACTAACGCTCGGTCTCAGTAGTGCTCGTTATGTACCAGCATTCGTCCAAATAGTGTTCGTCTAAGAGATTGTAGCGTTCGGCCAGAATATATAGCATCCGGCCAAGCTTAATAGCGTTCGGCCAAGTTCAACATGGTTCGCCTAGATCTTGTAACGTTCGTCCACTTCTGTAGTACCAGGAACCGTTCGGTCTTTGCAAGTCAGGGTGTTTTTTGTTTGCTCATTATGTGTTCGATTGATGTTTTTATTCATGCCAGTATGCTAATTTCATTAATTATTCTATGTTGCTTTAAGGGTGTATGTATGCATTATCATGTTGGTATTAAAGTGAAAGGGTATGTGATTCAAAGTGATGGAAAGTGTGTGGTTTTACAAGTATGGTTGATGGACGTAATTCCATGGTCTTCAAGGAGAGGATACATGGTGGTGCCCTTATTGTGTATGGAATGATTTGCATGGGAGCTCAGTCTTGGGGGTTATCTTGAAACTCCAATGGTCTGTCATTCTCAAGTAGAGAGGATTGGTTCATGTGGTGAGGAGTAGCAGGAGGTCCTAGTCTTGTAGGCTTCCAGTATGCTCCAAGGCGCGGAACGGACTAACCTCGTGAGTGTGGTAGGGTGAAACCCATTGGCAATGGCTTTGCAAAGCAGTAAAGGCCACCACAAGTGCACGACCCGCCATAGCTCGACAATCATTCTAAGTCCGGACGAGTCAAGTGTCAAGTGTAAAGTGTAACAAGTCATGTGTATAGTTTAATTCATTTGTATGTACATGCATGTTGTGTGTGATTGTGATAACATAATTTTTTGTATATCTAGCTTACCCTTGCTTGTGTGTTTGTGTTTGTTTAGGTATGCTTTTTCTTTTGCGATGATCATCCACTTGGGTGTGAGCAGAGGTGGATGATGCACCTCTGGAGCAGTCATTGGAAGGAGATGACACTGCCGCTTAATCGTTTAGTAGTT